TACGCCCGGCCCTCCTTCACCTGCTGGCCCACAGCCCTGCAGTTATCTCGCTCCAGGGCTCTGCCGGAGCCTCCATCCTGCTCCCTGGGACAGCCAGGCTCAGGCAGGTCTGCCGGGACCCGCCAGGCTGCTGGGGATGAGCAGCGCGAGGCTCGCTCTATGCGAGGGTACGGTGCTGTGAATACCCAGATTGGCCCGAGATCTGCTTCCCTGCCTCCTCTCCACCCTTCCCCGTGCACAGAGCCACCTGCTAGGAGGAGCAAGGAAGGGCCCTGGCTGACTTTGCATGAATGATATACTTGTCCTGCCCCTCAGGGCTGGTGCATCAGCCTTCAGAAGGGGCTGACAGTGCTCTGGGCACGGGAGGTTCAGTTAACGCCGCTCCCCCTGCGCAGGACCGCAGCACTGTTGGCAGGGATAGGGGCATGGGGGATGTGAGATCAGCATCTGTTAGGAAATCTGGGGAAACATGGGGCCACGCTACCAGAATCACTGCCACCCCACTTCAAAGACAGCACTGGTGGCATCAGGCAGCTCTGCTGCGGTCTGTGGTTAGCGCAGGGCCGGGAAGAGCCGGGCGATGAAGGCAGTTTTTTTTTAAGTCCTCACCTCAGGACATGGGTTAGCACACAGGTTAGCCCATGCGTGCTTGCAGAAGTGCGGCAGTGCCAGAACGCTGGGGAGCGGCATGAATTTGCAGGTCTTGTTTCTTCCAGTGCTGGGAGCCTGGTGACGCTGTAGGATGCTTTGATAAGCAGTATGAACACAAGGGCAGGTGCTGCAACCGGTGTCAGCCAGGTACGGAGACCCCCTCCACTTCCTGGGGCCCCAGGGCCCGGTCACGACGGAGCAAACCCAACTTGGTGTGACCGAGCCTTCTCCACTCCATTGCCAGCAGTGCCGACAGCTTCACCTCCCTATGTCACCTCAGTGCTAGAGCAACTGGGGACCTCATGGGTGCCCTGGGAGACCCCCTGGACCTCACTGAACCTGCCACAGTTCTCTTGGGACTGCCTGTGCTCCTGCAGCCACAGGACCCCATGGCACAGGCAGCTTGAGGAGAGATGCTGCCACTGGCACTACCAGATTGTGATGGTATTTGCCAGCTCCCGCTGTCACTGCCAGATTATTTCCCAGTCCTTGGAGTGCTGGAGGCAGTGAACAGCCCCCCCTGCTCTCCTGCCCCAGCACCAGCAGCCCTCCCCACCTCGCCCCACACAGCATGTGCAGCCACCGGGCAAGCTGGCCCCTGAAGCCCTGGCTGCCGGAGCGGCATGCTGCAGTGGCCCTGGCATCCCTCCCCTATCGTGCTGGCAGAGCTGCTGCCTGGAGAGGGGGAAAGCCCCCCCCTCCCCACCAGCCTCTGTTGCAGGGGAAAAGCTGGTCTCCGAATGCAATGACACAGAAGACTCTGTTTGCGCCCGCTGTGAGAGCGGACACTATCAGCAGAGCTGGACCAAGGAGAGGCACTGTGCCCCCCACGATATCTGTGAAGACAGTAGGTGCTCCCTGTGCTCACCGGCCCCAGCCTGCGGAGGCTGCAGGGGCTGGTGTCCCCCCAGGGTCACCTGCCCGGTGCCTGACCTCGCCCGTGCTCCCTTTGCCCAGACGCTGGCCTCATTGTGAAGATGCAAGGAAATGAAACGCACAACACTGTGTGCCAGTGCCAGGCCGGCATGCACTGCTCTGACACCAGCTGCCAGACCTGTGTGGAGAACCAGCCCTGCCAGCGCGGTTTCGGCTTTGTGGCAGGTGAGTCCGACCAGCTCTTCCCTCTCAGTGGGACCAATGCCCTGGCAGCATTGACCTCAAGTCCTCCAGGGAAAGGGGGACTCCCCCAGCAAGGTACTCCTAGCAGGGCTTCGGGAGAGCTGTGCCTGCCGCTGCGCCTGGCAGCATTGCCACGGGGAGGGCTGCTCGCCTGACCCCCACAGCCCCTCACCTCCCACAGCCCATACTGACCTTCTTGCAACCTCTGTTCCTCTCCAGCCAAGGCCGTGGCCCAGATGTCATCCCCCTGTGAGCCCTGTGCAGAAGGCACCTTCTCCAATGTCTCTTCTAAAACCGAGCCGTGCCACCCCTGGACAAGGTATTGTCTGAGTGCTGACCACATCCTTCATGCCCAGCTGTGCCCAGTCCCCATGAGCATGTCCTCTGCTGCCAGCCTCCTCAGGGGCCTTGGGGACAGGGCAGCCAGCATGGTCTCTGAGGGACACAGCATCAGACTAGCATAGGGCAGGAGCAAGAGGAGCAGAGCTAGGAGGACAGTGGCATGGCTGAGCTCAAGGCAGACATCCAGGCCCTTGTGACTGTCCCTCAGCTTGTGCACAGAGCGCTGGCCCCTCCAAGGATGTCCATGCTGTCGTCTGCACTGGGGAGCAACGGATGAGGGGCTACGGGGATCCCCCATGCCCTGTCCAGGCTCTCCCTCCCAGCAGGAGGTAGTCATCAGCCAAGGCACCAGCCCTCTTCGTGGGCCGTGGGGAGTCCGGCTTTGAGGATGCCATGGGCTGGCAGGTTGTCCCTGTCTTTAGAAAGCTACTTAAGGGTTAATTGCACTCCCTGGTAGAAACGTGAGCCTTATTTCCAGGCTGAATTAGTCTCGCTTCAGCTGCCAGCCATTGGATTTCACTTTGCTTTTATCTGTGCCCAGAAATTACCTCCCCACAGAGCCACTTGTAGCCTGTCATTGAGTCATCTCTGAGCTGTTTTGCAATAGCTGTAGTGCCTGAGCCCCAGCATCTCCCTGACTGGGCAGGGATATTCGGGCAGGTCTCAAATATCCACTCCCTCCTGTGCCTTGTCCCCAAACTTGTCCCCATCTCAGCAGTTTCAGCTACTCCAGACCAGGACCTGAGGTGCGGCCCTGCTATGTACCTGGTGTCGGCTGCGGGCCCCCGGCCACTTGCCCCTCCAGAGCCTGGCAGGCTCAGCGCGGGATGCTTTCTCACGCAGCTCTGGTGGCTGCCCAGCCCCGGCTGTGCCTTCTCAGGGGCTTTCTGTGTACTTAGGCTGCTGCTGTGGTTACATGGTCTTGTTCTTTCCTGCAGCTGTGAGGAAAAGGGGCTAGTGGTGAAGGTGAAGGGGACGAACACCTCAGATGTGATCTGCGGTAAGTGCCCGGTGCCCTGGGCTGGGCCCATGCAGAGCAGAGATCTCCTGGTGCTCCAGCTGCCACAGCACTCGGAGGAGCTGGCCTGGCCTGTGCGTGTTTTTTGAGCGCACTGCTGGCATGATGCCTTCCTGCTCCTCTCTGTCCCCGTAAGGGATTCCCGCGGGACTGGGCCGGGAGCAGAGGCAGCTTGGGGCACTTGGCGTCTCTGTGAGAGTGTCACGCAGGTGCCTCACTGACCGCATCTCCCTCGGTAGAGTCGGGCAGGCGCTCCTCGCTGTCAGTGCTGATCCCCATCACAGCCGCGGTCGTCACATGCCTCGTGGGCATCTGCATCTACTGTCTGGTCCACAGAGGTAAGAGGCTGGGACACAGGAAGCGATGCCTTGGCCAGAAAGGCCATACGGGGCCGAGGAACTGAGCAGGGAGGACGGCGGCAGCTCTGCCGAGTGTCGGGCAGCCCTTCTGGGGACACCATGAGGGCATGGCTCCCCAAGCCCATTGCCCTGCTGGGTCAGTGGGCTCTGTCCTCAGGAGCAGGCATCGTTTCAACG